ACTCAGCACCGAGCAGGTTACGTTACGGCAAGCCTGTTTTCTAAATCAAAACTCAGAACCCTTGGGGCTCTGTCCTGGGGATGAATGAACCCGGCTGTCACAGAAAGTCCAAAGTGGAGGTTTCCTCCCCGCGCAGCGGCCAGTGGGAGGAAGGGACCTGGAATCGGATGTGGCCAAGGCTGTGTGGGGGCAGCTTGGCCGAGAGCAGGAGGACAGGAGGAGGAAGGAAATGAGGGTCAGGGAGAGGGGGCTTCCCAGAGCGCCTTCCCAGGCTACCTGGGGAGCGGGGACAGGAGGGCGACCTGCGCCTGGTGCCCTTCCTGGCTGTGAAGGAGGGAACGGCAGTGACCCTAAGCCCCAGGGGATGTTCACAGTGAGCTTCCACAGGCCTCTGGCCCCGCTTCCTCTGATGATCTTTCACAGGGCGTCTCCCACCCACTCAGGCTCCCCAGATCCAGCGTTTCCGTTCCCCACTGTTCCCCCACCAAGGAGACAAGGTCAAACCAAGAGTTGTCCATCAGGCAGCAGTTCTCAAGGGGGGGCTGTTCTGCCCCCCAAGTGGAATTCGGTGCTGTCTGGAGAACTTTTGGTTGTCACAGCTGGTGCGGGGTGGGGGCTGCCGGCATCTGGTGGGCAGAGGCCGCGGATGCTGCTTCCCACAGTGCCCGGCACAGACCTCACAGTGCAGTTATCCAGCCCAAATGTCAACAGAAACCCCAAAGCTAAAGCATGTCCTCAAAGCAGAAGGTCCCACTCACTCCCACTCCCTCTCGGTGTCCCCTCCCTGGGCTTCGGTGGGATTTTTTTGTTTATTGGGTCAGAGAAATAAATCCTAGGTCTGTGTCAGCAGCCAACCAGGCGTCATTATAGGAAAGAGCAAAGCCGTGTCTTCCCAGCCACCAGGGTGGAACGGCCCAAATCTAGTGCTTAACCCCTCCGCCTCTTCCACGTGGGGCTCCCGGGTTACCAGTGGTCGCTGGTGACGTACAGACTCTCCAGCGGGCCCAGAAGCTTGTTGTGGCCCAGTCCCAAGTGCTGCAGCCCCAGGGGCGGGCCGGCGCACAGACACTCCATGCTGCTCATCTTGTTGCCGTAAAGTTCCAGCACCTGCGACACGGCCAAGGCGCCTGTGAGCCGGGTCAGCCGGGAATCCACTTCCCTCCTCCCGCCCTGGGCAACGCAGGAGGGGAATTACGAAGCACTCACGCCCCGTCTCCCTGAGTCCATCAGGACACCCTTTTAAAAATCTGCGAAGAAAGTACTCCTGCAGCAGGTGTCAGGAAGTTTCCTCTTCTTTTGTGGAGGAAACTTTAAAATCTAGAGTGGAGGTGATGTCGTGGGGCTCGGGGAGAGGAGCTACGTAACATTTCGGCAACTCCTCACCCCATGATGTGGAAGGGATCCTAGATGGAATGGGGAATAAACCCAAACGTAACAGAGTTGCTGTATCTCTCCTCCAAGGCCTCGCTGGGTTCTTTCTTGGGTGGGGCACTGAGCCAGATTTCTGAGTCTCTTCTGCCACCAAATCTACTAGTCTCGCATTTAATTTAAAATCGAGACCCATTCTGACATCTGAAGATTCATAACAAAACCTGGCCTACATTTTAAAATTTTCTATAGTGGTAAAATATACATAACATAATTTTCCATTTTAACCGCAAAGTTCAGCAGCATTAAGTCCATTCACATTGGTGGACAACTACCATCACTGTCCATTTCCAACACTGTATCGCTACAAACAGATACTCTGTACCCATTGAGCAACAATTCCCCAGTCCCTGTCCCCTGCCCCCAGTAACCTCTAATCTGCTTTCTTTCTCTATGGATTTGCCTCTTCCAGATATTTCATGTCAGTGGAATCATCTAATTCGTGGCCTTTTGTGTCTAGCCTCTTTCATCGTGTTTTCAAGGTCTGATCATGTTGTACATGTGTCATCGTTCCTTTCTGAGAATGAATAACGTTCCACTGAACGGATACACCACGTTTTGCTGATGGATTGTCTGTTGCTAACACGTGGGTGATCTCCACTTTCTGGCTACGTGAATAAGGCTGCTATGAATACAAGAGTCAGTCTGAGTTCCTGCCTTCAGTCCCTCTGGGCATAGACCTAGGAATGGAATTAATTACTGGGTTATATGGAAATTCTATTTAACTTTGTGAGGAATTCGGCTTCTGTCTCAAAAGCCTGGGGCTGGCCTTAGCACACAGACACAAGGACTAAACTTTGGCAGAGGCAGGGGAGGGGCCGGGCTTCTGGGCAGCACTGGCCAGAGCCCCCAGTGGAACCTGGGCTCCTTTACCTTGAGAGTCGGGGGCAGGTTGGCGGGGTCAATCTCCTTGATTAGATTAGCACTCAGAATCAACTCTTCAAGCTTCACAAATTTCAGGAGGTCTTTGTCCACCAGGCTTACCTGGAAGGCAAGGAGAGGGAGCTCAGAGCTCTAGTGGGCGAGGCAGCCCTGGGGCAAGAACTGAGTCCACGTGAGGATAGCAACTGGGATCTGTCTTCAGAGCAACCCCCCTCAGCCCCACCCTTTCCTCTCCCTCCCTGCATCCTCCGGCCAGCATCCAGGTGCCTCCGTCACTGCAGTGGCCCCTCACCTCTTCAACCCTCACTCCTCCTCTGACTGCAGGCGTTGTCCAACTGCCAGCTCCCTGTCCCGCGTCCCTTGCTGGGCAGGAATCCCACTTCTTTGCTGTCTACCCCAGAGCCACGGTGAACCCTAAGGTCTTAAGGAATCACTCCAGTTTACACACAGCAGGTTCAGAGCAGAAGCTTCAGAGGCCTCTGTGAATCCGCAGTTCCCTTCGGCCTCAAGGACATCAGGGGCCCTGCCTGGCCCAGCCTCTCTTCTCTAGAGTGATCGACTGTGCCAGCTTGCCCTGCAGGATGTCTGGGCCTGCGAGTAATCAGCAGGAGGGCAGAGCGGGGGTCTTCCCACCAAGTACCATAAGGGGAGTGGCCTCCTTAACATCACCTCTGTGTTCTGGTCTGTTCCCGCACTCACCTGCTTGTCCACCACCCGCAGCGACTTGAAGTAGGTGTAGAAGAAGCTGTCTTTGAGCACCAGGGGGTTCTGGATGGCCAGTTCTCTCAGAAAACGGTCCTCTGCACTTGAGCCCTCTGGCAGAGCCCAGGGTGAGTGGGGGCTTCGGACCAGGCCCAGCAGGTCCTCCACCGTCTCCTCCCCCGGGCTCACAGCCTCCTCCTCTCTGGGGACCAGCTCCCGCCATGCTCGTGAAGTTTGAGGAAGAAAGCGCGACTTATTCTGCAGGCGTGGAGACAGAGAATGTCCCTCTGTAAGACGCAGCCCTCTCATGGGTTCCAAACTCTCAAAATGGAATCGATTGTGAAAGAGGACAATCAGGGATAGTTTAGAAGCCAGAAGGCACAAAAGGCAATCTGCGGGATGCAATTAGTCAAGGAAAAGTTTTTGGATAAGAGGTAGCGAGGCTGAAAAAGTGAATTCAGAACCTTCAGATGACATGAGTGGAAGATGAAAGAATTCAGTCCCTGAGTTTATTCTCTCCCACTCTTTCCTCTGGAGAGACGTCTGTGAAACCCTAAATAAAGCTCAGCACCATGCCAGGCACACAGGAGGTGCTCAACAAGTGTTTGTTGATGAAACAAACACATTAGTCCCCTGATTACTCAGTTTTCACTTCTATGAAAATGGGAACCAGCTTACAAGGGTATGTGGGGCCCCAGCTTCTCATCAGGCCCACAGGAACCATTCAGAAAGCAAGGTATTTCCCCGCACACTTGAGCAGCCCCCATTTCTGTATGTGTGTTCCTCCTCCCATCAAGCTGGCCACATCCAGCAGGGTCCTAACTGCGGACACTGTTTGCAGGATGAGCTTTTCATCCCCAAAGGAGCCTGGTGTCCTTAAGACAGCCAGGGGCCTGCCCTGGACCAGCCTGGTGTGCTCAGGATGGGGCCTCACTCTGGTGGAGGAGGGGGCTCTGCCCTTCTACCTGGGTCAGCCCCCACATGCCTGCGTAGGGGCCTATTCCATCCACCCCTGCAGTGGCCCTGTTCCCACAATCCATCCCCGTCCCCACCCTCCCCACAAGGCTAGATCCAGACCTCTCAGGCTTCTCCAGGTCAGCCAACCCGCAGGGCTGGCGGCCCGTTCAGCTCCTGGGGCCAGACCTACCCCGGCCCCGCTCCCAGCTCCTAGGCCCTGGCCTGGTCCCCGGTCAGTCCCCTCCGTCCCCCAGACTCCCCTGCCCCTCCTGCGGCCGCGCCCGCACCCAGCTGCCGATGCCGCACGGGAACTCGCGCAGACACAGCTGCCGCAGGTGCTCCCGGACCGCCGCGCTCACGGTTCCGGCGGGCGCCTCCATGCCCACGGGGTCGCCACGCCAGCCGGTTGCTAGGCAACCGCCCGGAAGCGCTCGCCAGGGCCCGGCGCGTGCTCGTGCTCGAGCCGGCGGGGGCGCGCGGGGGCGCGCGCGCTCCTAGAACCCGTTGCTTCCCGGAACCCGCGCACTTTTCCTGGCCGGGAATCCGAGACCCCGACTCAGTCCCAGACGGGCTGCGTTTTCTCTTCCCACCTCATCTGTGCTCGCAGCCGTAAAAGTGGGATCATCATACAATCCCCGCCGCAGCTGGGGGCGGTAACTGTGGTGCCCTCAGCGGGCCTTGGACGCTCCCCATATGCCACTCTGTTGTTATTTCTCCTCCCAGGCACCCTCCGAATGAAGTTAATTCTTAACCCCTTTTGACAGAACTGGAAAGGAGGAATGAGGCCAAGACCAATCTTAACACTCTAATCAGTGGATTCCACCACGGTGGGTCTCTTTAATCCTTGAGTCAGGGGTTTTAACCACTGTCCACTTAGACAACTGGTTTAATACCAATGCCCCATTTCACACGGATTCAATCTCATTCACCTCTCGGTCCTCAGAGCGTCTAGCCCACGGCCCGCCACTCAGTAGGGGCTCCTGAGCACTGCTTTATGAAATTAATCTGGTTCCTATAATTTGGAAATGCAACTTTTTTTGGTGGACGGGGCAGTAATTAGGTTTATTTATTTATTGTTTTAGTGGAGATACTGGGATTGAACCCAGGACCTCATGCCTGCTAAGCACATACTCTACCAGTGAGCTACACCCACCTCCCCCTGGAAATGCAACATCTTGATCGAGATCTAATTTAACCCGCTTAAAGTGTACAGTTCTGTGGTTTTCAGTAGAGTCACAGGGCCACTGTATTAATAATGCAACTACCACTGTAGTCTGACTTTCAACATTTCCCTCACCCCAAAAGGAAATACCTTACCCATTAGCAGTCAACCCCATCCCCCCATTTGCCCAGCCCTGGTAACCACTAATCTGCTTTCTTCCTCTGTGGATTTGCCTCTTCTAGATATTTCATGTAAGTGGAATTATACAGTATTCGTCCTTATGTGAGTGGCTTCTTTCGCAGCCTAATGTCTTCAAGGTTCATCTGTGTTGTGGCCTGGGTCAGTACTTCGTTCCTTTCTGTGACTGAATAATAATGCTATATGGACAGACTGGGTTTTGCTTATCCATTCATTGGTTGATGAACATTTGGGTTGTTTCCACTTCTTGACTTTTATGAATAATGCTGCTATGAACATTCATGTACAAGTTCTGTATGAACATATGTTTTCTTGTCTCTTCGGTAGATACCTAGCAATGAAATTGTTGGGTCATATGGTAACTGTATGTTTAACATTTTGAGGACACTTCAAAACCGTTTCGCACAGAAGCTGTACCATTTTACATTTCTACCAGCAATATATGAGGGTTCCAATTTTTTTTTATATCCTCACCAATACCTATTATTTTACATTTTAAATAATTATATCCATCTCAATTAATAGGTGTGAAGTAGCATCTCATTTGTGGTTTTTATTTGTTTTTCCTTTATGCCTAATTATTTTGATCATCTTTTTGTGTTTATTGGCCATTTGTATATCTTCTTTGGAGAAAAATCTACTCAAATATTTTGGTCACTTTTAAATTGGGTTGTCTTTTTATTGTTGAGTTGTAAGAGTTTTTATATATTCTGGATACTAGCCCCTTGTCTTATATGTGATTTTCTCCCGTTCTGGGGGTTGTCTGTCACTTTCTTGATAGTGTCCCTTGACAAACAAAAGTTTTTTAATTTTTGCGATATAATTTATCTGTGTTTTCTTTGGTTGCTTGTACTTTTGGTATCATCTTAAGAAACCACTACCTAAACCACAAAATTGAGTTTTGAGCATTCATTATACATTTTGCTCACAAGTCCTTTTTCAGATTTGCGACTGGTGAACATGTTTCTCCTAGTCTTGGTTCGTCTTTTTATCTTCTTAACAGTGTCTTTAAAAGAGAAAGAAAATAACAATTTTGACGAAGTCTAGTTTATTGATTGTGATCCTTCCAAAAACACCCACTCTTGTGGACATCTGTCATTCTTTTTGACAGTCCTATATCAGACACCTTTACTATTATTAGAAAAACTCTCCAAAACTGGGAAATGAAAGCCAAAAGGAAACCATATGTTCCACTAAAGAATAAAACAAATATCTATGAGTCTGTAGTGATATAAACAAATCAAAGAGATGATTCATGGAGGACTCTGGGATCCTGATGAAGCAATGGAGTGGTTTTACTTTTTCCTCAATTCCCAAACCACCACAATATGGCTTCCACTCCCCAACAATTTATTCAGACTCTCCTAGCAAAGTCCCCAATGACCTCACGTTCTCAAACCAAGTGCGTCTTTTCAGGCTTTATCTTCTTTGACCTCTCCGTGGCTTATGGTGGGGCCAATCATTTCCGCCTCGTTGAAAACCACTTTTCATCTTGATCCATGACTATATGGCTTTCTAGTACATTTCTTTCCCTCTTGGAGGGTGTCAGTATTTTAGACTAAATCATCTTTCTCCAGGGCTCCTCACCTGACTTATACATCTCACCTGGTCCTTCTCATCTTTCAGGACTTGGCGTAGACGGCAGCTGCTCAGAGAGACTCTTCCTGATCACCTGACTTGAAGTGTCTCACCCATCACTCTCACCCGTCACCTTGCTTTATGTGTATGTTCTAATGATTGCCTGGTACATTCCTGTGTTTTAATGTTGCTCATGGTTTCCCCTTGTGCACTAGGACACCAGCCCCCTGAAGGCAGAGACCTTGTGCAACTTCTTCCTGAGACCCGAGAAGGTCAATGTTGGCAACAAAATATGAATAAATGATTTCAACAGATAACTCTGGACACAGATTCTGGTTTGAGACCCTGCGGTTGCAAAGACGTCACTGAGAATCCAATGATGTTCAAAGCCAAGAGGAGTGGAGATGAAGACTTTGACTCATCACATTCATGGTGGTTATCAGGGCCGTCCCCGCACCCTGGCCTGCGCACACTTCAGAAATTTCCAGAGATAATATGTTCTGCAAACTTCGCACCAGCTTTACGCCCACATGCGCTCACCCGTGACCCTCCCCAGAAATTCCCAGTGGGGCACTGACCCCTCGACTGCTCTGAGTCACATGTTCCTTGCGGGTGATGCCTGTCAACCTGGGGCTTCAGAGTTTCTTCTAGTCAAATCAATAAGCTCTTTCCAAGAAGAAATGGCAAAGATGCGCGCACCTTCCTGTGCCAGCCTGTGTGCGTCTGGACTGAGTCAGGCAGTGGCCCACCTTCAGGGTAACCTCAGCGTTTCCTTTCAGCCTTGGGTGGCAGAATTTTGAAAGTGTTTTCTGGAGAAAAGCTGAGTAATGATTCTGCTATGGGCGGGACATCGATGGTCCTTCTTCCTTGCGACTGGCCCTTTATATACCTCCCGAGGACCATGGCCAGCACATCAGGCTCCAGAAGCTGTCGCCGAAGCAGCCTCTCTCTCCCGCCATGGTCTCCCACACAGGTACCGCTGCGGCCTGCTGCCGCTGGTTTGGGGGCAGAGTCTGGTGTCTCTGGATGGAGAGGAAGACCACGCAGGGGGTCAGCCCAGAGGTGGCTCAGCCCAACAGCGGCTTAAGCGACGGAAGCTGGGGCAGGCGGGGGCGTCTGGCTTCATAGCATCATTCTCTCTCTCCAGGATCTGCCAGACTTGCCCTTTTCCTGTTCTGCTGTTTGGGACCCTTCCTGTCATGCCGCACAGCGCCCACCTACACACCGGAACCATATGACCAACGAGGCATAATCGAGGAGTTAAAGATCTCATTTAAGGAGCTTTTGGATAACTATGTAAGTGACCTCGAGATTTTTCTTCCAAGCCATTTCTTTAAAATGCCTTCCATGGCACCCAGAAGATGCCTACTCTTTTCAGACCAGAAGCCAGGGCTGTGGGTACTGCAGGAAGGGGTAGGAGCAACCAGGGAGGCTAGGATGGAATCCACATGAGGGTGGGGGTCAGAGGCAGAGGTTAACCCAGGCTGCCCACAGCTCAGCAATTTCTCGTGCACTGTAGGATCTGCTTTAGTCGGCGTGTCAGTCCCTAATGTGCTTGGTTCGCAGTAATAGTGAGTTTTCCTCCTGTAGCACGTCTCCAGAGGTGGGCCATCTTGCCCACCCACCCCAGGAGCAGCAGATGCCAGCCTAAGCTGTCAGTGACAGCCCAGCGAATGCGGGATGTCACAATCCTCGTGGGGGTCACGAAGAGGGTCTCTTAACTGCAGAGAAGGCCAGTTAACCAATTAGGCGTCTGTTTGCTCTTTGATTTGTTTAATTAGGACCCAGCTGGCTTCCAGCAGAGGCTCTGCTGAGCCTGACCCATTGCGGGGAAAGTATAAGGCTGCATAAATGTAAATACTCTTTCACTTTCTCAGGGTTGTGATTAAGACAGATGCTCTTAGGCAACTTTGACTAAACAAACAAATAATAAAACATGGGAACAATTCGTGAAATTGGCCTTGCTCTCCCCTTCCACCCGGCATTTCAGCCTTAGCCTTGTCTTCTGTAGACACAAAGGCGAGGTTGTTGTCAGCCCAGGTGACTAGGCAGCTCAGGCTTATGAGATGCTCTTAGTCCTTAGGAAGAAGGATGGGAGAAGGCACGGTCTGGGATCCTCAGTATGTTTGGATAAACTCTCCCTGGCATCTTGGAGGCCTTTCCAGACAAGCACAGACCGGCCTCTGTGAGCAGGGGATATGCTGATTTTAACACAGAGTCACTAAGAGCAAGGGCACCGTGGAAACCCAGAGCCCTCCTGCTCCCCACCTCTCTGAGCCGAGCCGCTGGGCAGCTCAGAGCAGATTCCAGAAGGCCGTGGAGGCGGCATGGAGCGTGGCTGTCAGCTTGGGCTTTGGAGGTGCTGCCTGCTGTGGGCTGGATCTGCACCAGCTCTGCAAACCGGCTGCACTTCCGTTTCTTCTGGGAAGGGGGAGAGTGGCGATCCCGGCCTCGAAGGACCGTAGCACCCACCAGATGAGACGGTGAAGGGAAAGCCCTGCCCAGGGCCGGCCCAGGAGGCACTCAGATGTGAACTGTTGGGATTTCTGGCTGTTTCGCAAAACTGATGCTCACCCATTTCGACTCCTTGTTCCCCAGCTGCAGGACGAGAAAGGAGTGCCGAAATCCAGCCAGTACGAGATGCCGTGCTTCACTGCTGACCCCCGACCCCCACACTACCTCGACAGCTCAGCCATCCTGCCTTATTTCAGAGCGATCCAACCAATACTCAATAACCAAACTCTTGATGTGGTCATAGAACATCTCGACAAACTCGAATTTCAACGTGCACCGAAAACAAACGTTTCTGTGCCTACAGATCAATTTGAACAGAAAAGATTCATCTTGACTATTTTAAAGCAGTTTTCAAACTGCCTGAATTCTGACTTAGTAAGTAAATTATTCCAATGATAATCTCAGTGAAGCCTCGGATGGGCTGGTCCTGGGAGGACTGAGATATAAACGTATGAGCTAACTTGAAACCGATTTCAAGTTATGTCATTGTTATCAGTCTTGTTATTTATGGGACGTTTTCCTTCTGAAGACTTAAACCTTACTTCTTACACCCTTGTGAGGGCAGGAGATGGCAGCTATGTTAATTTATTGCTATTTATCGTATTGAGATTGTTAATCCTCCTGGGAGGAGCCCTTGGAAACTATTTAATAAATTATATTGAACTTCCCTCATCGTCTGTTTTGGACTTCTTGAGTGGGTGAGACTGAGCGGCTGGGCACCCAGGCTGGGCGGTGCACCCCGTCCGCAGGTGTCTGGGATGTGCTGTGGACACAGACCTTCCTTCTGTTACTGCTGTTTCTCCTCACCGGACAAGCTTAGTCCCAATCAGCCACAACCATTCATCGGGCATTCTCTTCATGTCAGGCCGTGTCCTCTTTTAGAGGTGGGGAAAGAGGCAAGAAGTCACTTTGTCACTTGCCCCAGGCCACGTGGCTGTTACATGGTGGGACCCCAATTCAAGCTTGCTCTCCACTGCTCTGCCCAAACTTTATCCGTCCCTGGGCACTGACTGGGTCTTCAAGGCACTTCGTGCCATGCCTGGCACTCACCCAGGTGTCTACTGTGCGGTTCCCCATGGATTTCTAGCACCTCTGCTCCCACACAGGTCTGTTCCATCATTCCACCAGTGATCTCTTCATAGCCGGGGTCAAAGATGGAATCATTTGAATAGATGAGTCCAAAGCTGTGAACAGTGCTTAGAGTTCATCCAGACCAATGGTCCTCAAAGCACAGTCTCCGGACCACAGCATCAGCTTCACCTGGTAACATGTTATACATGCAGATCCTTCCCCCTCTCCCCAGACTTACTGAGTCGACGCTCTGGGGGGTGCAGCCTGCAACCAGTGTTTGAACAAAACCTCCAGGTGACTCAGATGCACGCTCCAGCCTGAGAAGTGCTGATCCTGAGTTGACCAGCACCTTCACCTCCACCTCCACTGGGGGAAAACTGAAGCCCAAAGAGACAGGATGATCTGCCCTAGGTCTCGTATAAGGCGGATGAGGTCCGGACCCTGAGATACGCAGTTCAGCCTCCGACTTCTCAGTCTTACTTTTGTGGGCATTTCTACGCCAGTTCCACATCAGGCTTTTAAAGCTCCCAAACATCCTAGCCTCTGATGACAACGTTTTGGTCAATCCTTCCAAAACACCCACTCTGGTGGACATTGATCATATCGTTAAGGACACCATTATTATTATTAAAAAAATTACCCAAAACAGGGAAATAAGGCAAAAGATGACCACGTGTCCTTCTGAAAAATGAAAGTAACGCACCCTAGTCTGTAGTGATAGAAATAAACACATGGGGGAAAGGGACAAATGTTCCCTACAGAATTCTAACTTATAAACATAGAAGCAATGAGGGAAACAGAAAACCACCACTGAGCAGCTCGGTGATGACTGCTGCAGGCAAGGTGCTCAGATGAAGGTGAAATTCACGGGGAGACTTGCAGGAGAGACAGGAAACTCGCACAGCCCCGCAGCACCTGCCCCCACATATTTACTCATCATTGTGGAGGTTTTAACCTGCGTCCACAAATTCTCTGATGCTCCCCGTCCAGCAAATGGAGCTGGACTCCCGTCCCCTTGACAGTGGGCTGGATGGGGACTTGCCCCTAAAGCACAGAGTCGGAGGGAGAGACAGCAACTCGGTGGAGGATAAACACGGCTGACACCTCCCTGAGCAAGGGGGCAAAGTCAACACCACCTGCAGTAACATCAGGGGTGTCGGGTACCCCAAGGTGACCTGACAGGAAGGGCACCCCTCACCTCTGTGGGCCCCTTCCCCCAGATCCACCAGCCCAGCCTCCTCCCGAGAAAACATCGGACAAACCAAGATTGTGGGACATTCTGCAAAATCCCTGACCGGTCCTCTTCAATGGTGTCAGGGTCAGGAGACTTGCGGGAAGACTGAGAAATCATTGCAGATGGGAGACCAAGGAGATAATTGGATGCAATCTCAGAGGGGATCCTGAAAAAGATACTTGTGAAAAACCGTGGTGAAAATCCAAATTAAGCCTGTACTGGCATTAATTTCTTAGTTCTGATAGATGTGCCATGATTATGTAAACCTTCACATTTAGGAAAAGCTGGGAGAAGGGTCTATGAGAACTCTGTACTATCTGTAACTCTGCTGTATATCCAAATTCATTTCCAAATGAAACAATTAATGCCATTTGCAGCAACATGGATGCTGGAGATCGTCATTCTAAGTGAAGTAAGCTAGAAAGAGAAAGAAAAATACCATATGAGATCACTTATATGTGGAATCTTAAAAAACGGCACAAATGAACTTATTTACAAAACAGAAACAGACTCCCAGACAGAAAACAAACTTACGGTTACTAGGGAGGGAAAGGGGTGGGAAGGGATACACTGGGAGTTCAAGATTTGCAGATACTGACTATTACACATAAAATAGATAAACAACAAGTTTCTACGGTACAGCACAGGGAACTTTGTTCAATATCTTGTAGTCACCTACATAATATGAGAAGGAATACATGTACGTACATGTATGACTGAAGCATGATGCTGTACACCAGCAACTGACACAACATTGTAAACTGACTATACTTCGATTAAAAAAAAACTTTAAAAACAGTTTTAAAGGTCCAATTCCTTGGTCACACTAGTCACATCTTAAGCGCTCAACAGGCACACATGGCTGAAGGCCCCCGTGCTGGACAGCGCAGACGCAGAACATCTCCTCCTCCACAGAAAGTTCTACTGACAGCACTGCTTTCAGGGCCTGGGACTCCATTTGTCACGGTTTATTATTGATTAGGTCGCAGAGTCTGTGAACCTGTAGAAAACTGATCTATGATTTCTCTCCAGTAGA